TGAGTTTTTTTTTAATGTTTTTTATCTATTACCACTTTTTCTCAGCTCTCACAGAACCGATTTCTTTCAATGGTACGTCAAAAGATCACAAATCGTATCTAGTCGAGGACATTATCCTTAAAAATTGAAAAAATTTCCCTCGTTCCCCGTAAATGGGGGAAACCTCCAAAAAAATTACAAATTTAAAAATCGCTAATTTTCGAAATTTTTTTTACTTAAAATTGCCATAACTTTTTCAAAAATGAACATATCAATATAACTCTTTTTTATATAGATGCATAATATCATTTCCTTTCATTTGGTATATTTTTTTCATAAATTTAACCCTTAACGTGCCCACAAGGGGGGATTTAAAATGACAACTTTTTCACAAAAAATTAATTTTTTTAACTTAAACTTTGAAAATGTTCCGGAAAGTCTGACACTTTTATATATATCTTAAATTAAAGGTAATGTAATATAATTTATTATGGAAAAAAAAAAATTGCGGACTTTATTTTATCTTCACGGTGAAAATGGCTACCAAATGCTATTATTGTGTGAAAATTCTCGATTTTATTTTTTACATATATCATCAATACAATTTTTATGAGAAATAATATTTATATCCCTCTTTTATTCGACATACTTTATCTTAATCAGGATATAAATAAGGAAATATCAGATCATGTAGCTTTTGGAATAATCCACCAATTTTTTAAAACTAAACACTATCTAATGATTTGTATCGAAGCGTTTTTTATGATAGTGATTTTAATCACTGTCAGATATCATTATACTTGATCCATCTATGCCACGTCACCACTGTGCCGCGACCCCCCTGTGCTGGGTTTTTTATACATTCAAACAGTCGTTTTTTTAAGTTTTTGAACACCTTCACTAGCATATCTGTTCCAATAAGGCCCGATTCTCGAATAATGTTGTTCCAAAGTCCTAGGCTTGTCCGCATACACTTTGGAATTCATATATCCCCATAGAAAATAGTCACACGCCAATTAGTCCGGCGACCTAGGCGGCCAACAAATTTCTGTGTTCCGCGAAACCAGTGTGTGGCAGAAATGTTTTCGCAACAGTTCAGTCGTTTCTTTCGCGGAATGGCAGGTTGCCCCATCTTGCTGGAACCAGGTAGCTGATAATTTTCGTCTACATTTTAATTCAGGTACCAGAAACTCATTCAACATTAAACGATAGCGCTCGCCGTTAACTGTTCCATCGAACACGTAGGGCCCCACGATACCATATTGGGCGACACCCATCCAAACCGTTAGCTTGGGGGAATAAAGAAGCTTCTCTTGCACTAGCATTGGATTCTCATTAGACCAGTACCGCATAATTTGCTTATTTACATCGCCATTAAGGTAAAAATGAGCCTGGTTAGTAATCGGTAAATAGTCTAACGGAAATTTGCCAGAATCAAGTTTCTCGAACATACTCTGAGCAAATGATTTTCTTGTTGCTGGATCAGTTGCTTCCAATTTCTCAGTGATTAAAATTTTATAAGCATGGAAATTAAGGTCATCGGACAAAATTCTCTGCAGAGAAGTCCGTGAAATACTCAAGTTTGCTGATCGTTTACACGTTGATCTGACGGGGCTAATCTGTACTGACTTTCTCACTTCTTCCTCCATTTCTGGAGTTCGTACGGAAATTTTTCGACCACTCGGTGTTTTTTTACACGCATCACCATTTTCCTCAAAGTTTTTTATCCATAAATTAACCGTTGGTCACGATGCAACCACACTTTTTCCGTCAAGATTAAAATTTTTACGAAACTCACGAATTGCACTCACGTAAGAGTCATTATTCTTATAACACCCAAAGAAAAACCTCAATCAATTTTGATAGAGAAATTTTATCAAGAGTTTATGATAATATTTTATTAATACGAACAAAATAACCATTCTTATAAATAATTATTGTTCAAGACAAGAAAAAAAATTATATTGATAAATATACCATAGATTCAAAAGTAATGATATATTTATCAAATTGAACAATGAATTTATTATATAGATCGAGGTTTTTCTCTGGGTGAATAAGCTTTTACAATAAACGCACGCTAAGCACCCGTCCATTGCTTCATTATGATAAAATCGCAATGAAACATAATTAAGCATCGTCTAGCTATCTGGAACTGGATTTACCGTTCTATTACCACAAAATTTGTCATAAGCAAGAGTGATGTCATAACCTTGTTAAAAACATGTTAGAACATTACGAAATGCAAGAAAAAAAGACACTGTTCATATTTGTATGTTATCAATGGATTTAGAACAAGTCTTATCTTTGCTTTCGTTAATGCACTGCTTAATGTTTTATTCGCATCAGTTATCCTGTTATAATTTACGTATACATCTTGATGATAATAACAAGTGACACTTGTTCTTAGGGCACGAAGGTAGAATGGCCTTGGATAAAATAATATTGCTTCAATAAACTTTTGAAGCATTACCTCTAATTCAATAGTGAAACGTAATTTGACTACTTAACTATATTGGCCAAAATAAAAACAAAATGCTTTTATTTCTTTAAATATATTTATTTATTTATTATATAAACAGGTAATGCCTATACATGAAATTTAGTTGTTTCAAAATACTTAGATAGCAGTTTTAACAGAGCCTCACTCATTATCAAAATGAAAAAATAACAAGAAACTAATAGTTTACAAAATACTGTAATCTGAAAAAATAAAAATAAACATGTTTATTAACATATACACTGTATTCGCTTTGCAGATGATATTGTTATCTTAACAGAGTGAACATGACATGAATGATGTGCTAAAAGTTTTATCGAGTGCACTTGATAAATTTAAAATGAAAATAAATTGTATGAAAACTAAAACGATGCTTATAAGTAAAATGCACTCGGATCGAAATCTTCTTAATATACAAATGAAAAATACACGATTACAACAGGTCCGAAAATTCTGCTACCTTAGAAGTATCATAGCTTCTAATAATAAATCAACACCAGACATCAGAAGAATAGTATTCCAAAACAAGAATAATTGTTTTGATCATTAACATACGTAAAAGATTCGTTAAAACATTTTTCTGAAGTGTGCTTTCATATGGAAGTAAAACATGGACAATTGACAAGATAGACAGAAGCCAACTAGAAGCATTATATATATGGAGAAAAATTTTAAAGACAAAATGGATAGACAAGTAAAGAAATGAGCAAGTTATAGAAGAAGTACGAGAAGAAAGACAGCTGATAAAGATGATTGAATCAAGAAAAAGAAAGTTAATCGGAAACATCATTCGACACAATGACTTTATAATCAACATCTTCGAAGGAAAAATAACTAGGAAGAAACCAAGAAAACAATATTTTGAACATATCTTGGAACTCATAAACTTTGTCTTTTGTTTCATTGAAAAATTTTGCGTCAAACAGAAAGGAGTGGCTTCAACAACGAGGTTTTGCCTTTAATAGATGATGATGTTTATTAAGTATAAGTTAAAACTATTTGGCGAAGAAGTAATAAAAAAATCAATACTTATTTTATTAAGAAACGTGGAAACATGGGAAATCCACCTTACAACAATTTAATTATTTTTATAATTTCAAAAATTAAGCAGATACGGGAAATTTTCAAATTTCAAAATGTTCTTGGCTCAAAATAAAAAATACCCGGAATTGTGAAAACGAAAACTACTTTTAGTGAACATTAAGCTTTGAGCACATTCAAATTTTCAAGAAAGGTGTAAAAGTCAACATAATAAAAGTGATGAATTACCACTCTTAGATTTTGAAAATAAAACGTCAGTTGCAAGAAAATNAATTTTCAAGAAAGGTGTAAAAGTCAACATAATAAAAGTGATGAATTACCACTCTTAGATTTTGAAAATAAAACGTCAGTTGCAAGAAAATGGTTCTTCAGCAAGTGCTACCATTTCTAAAAGAAGAAAATAAAAATTTTTTGAACAATTAATTATGCAAACAAAGCTAATATCTTCCCTAAAATATTTGTTATTTGTTAAACGTAATATAAACATTTTTTTTTCTAAATTTAATAGTGTATATATTTTTTTTTTATAATAAAGTCTGAAGTTCGACAAAAAATATATATTTAAGTTTTATTTCTTTAGCATTTGGCATGTTTTTACTAATATACTGCAGCGACTTAATAGGTTCTAACAATTTCCTAATTTTTTTGTCTCAAGAAAGAGGGAGAATATCACATTTTTTTCATAGAAAATAATAAATACAACCTAGTAAATGGTATCACATTTTTAATAAAATGTATTTTTACAACATTTTAGAAAAATAATGAATTATTCAAATTCAATTTTTTGGTATTTAGCCCATTCTTGATTTAATTTTTAACGCTATATTTTATTTTTGGGTTGTTAGATTTATTTAATGAAATCAGTTAGGTAAACAATAGGCTTAGTTTGGTCAAATTATAAGGAGAGAAAAATCGGAAGCTTTTTAAACGGTTTTAGAAATGAATGTTAAAGGAAATAAAAGAAGAGGATAAATGTAAAATAGGTAGTTGGGTACAATTATATGAGGACACTAGTGTGTGTAAATATGATAAGGAAGATCTTGTCAAGTGAAGGTTAAGGATACAAGTGGGGCCAACCTCAAGTAGTTGGAATAAAATCGAGGGAGAAGAAAAAGGATCAGGTAGAAAAAGAGTATTTTTACAAAAATTTAAATGTATAGATTAATTTCTTCGTGCATTTGTAAATTGTTTAACAGTAAAATATAATTTATAAGCACAATACATATTCAAATACTTTATCAATTACAATTGATAATTTTATGAGTTATTATAATAACTCATGAAATTGAAAATAATATGTTTAATGATTTTGTTTGATAATTAAGATTTTTCTGCTTTTTAATATATTTATTCAAATTTTATTTTTTTCTTACCATAATATAAACTATTTTATAAAATACCGCGAGTATTTTATTATTTTGTAAAATACAAGCGTATAATTCAATATGATACAAATTATATTATATTCATGTATAAAATTTACATCACTACTTAAAAATAATAGACTTGTAATAGTTTACTTCTAGCAAACAGAATTCTTTAATGAAAATAAGTTAACTGTTTTTATTTAGGGTTCAAAATCACGGAGTAAAACGATCCTTGTGAACGGAACCCAAGATAACATTGAAAATTTCATGAACAAAATAAAAAAAGAAATTGAAGAAAGAAAATAAGCTAACTATTATTTTTTCATTGCTATTGTAAATATTTTTGTAATATATTAATGTATAATCCTAATATAAAATGTAAAACAATATAATATTTTCTTTCCAAAGTTAATAGTCTCTTACTATCTATAATTTTTTTAAAAATTATCTTATCCGCCTCTTTCTCTTTTATAATTTTATCAACTTTTGTTTTTTAATTGTATGTAGTTAGTTTAAATAACTTACAAACTAGAAAATTATATTTTGAAGAGAAAGAATGGTTGATAACAACTTTTGAACCAGTATTTTAGGAATTATTAACATTTGTATACTTTAATAGAATAACTTGAGATAACAACAGTATTCCTCGCATATTGGTAACGCTGTCTATCTTAATAAGCGAATATTCTGCTCATCATACGTGTCTTGCTCATTCCTATCACTTTCTAATCAAAAATTATTGTACACTGTTTATTGTGTAATTGTTCCATGTTTTCATTAGATCTTTGGAAACTTTCCACGTCATTACTGTAGACATTACTTTTTTTAAAAAAATTATTTAAATACTAATTTTTTTACCCTACTGACTTCAAAATGTATATTGTAGTAGGGCATTGAAAATATTCACAATATCCCCAATGTATAATATATATAATGTTAACCCATTTTTTCTTAAAGTATTTAGGGCCGAATCCCGATTCGTGTTTCCTATCAGTAAAATTCCTTACTGAGTTCCAGCCATCAAAATTACTTAACGTTTTTTTCACCAGTAGATGTGTACAAATCCAATTGTTTTGTATAGATTCATTTCTCCAACATGGATCATCTGGGCTAGGCTCGCGGCATTTAACGTGTGACCTATCTATGCCGCTAGCAGTTCAATAAGAGGCAATATTGTAAGAACGTTGAAAGCTGTATAATTAACAGTTCTATAGGCACGGCACTTCGTAGTAGGGTTCTCGGATGTAAGTTTGCTAGAGCGTACATGTTTGTCTTTGGATGCAGAAGCACACTAGCCCAACGTATGCGTAGATCATATGGAAGATCGTATCAAGTGGAGGTTTAGAATAAGGGTGGTCGACCCCAAGTAGTTTGGATAAAAACGAGGAAAAAGAAAGATACTGCATTACGTTCCTACTTATTTAAATAAAACAATTCTTCGGCTAATAAAAAATAGTAGTACTATATTTAATACCAATATTTATCCAAAAAACTCATATAAATGAACCTTCTTGTTCTTAAACAAATTATAATAGAATTTCTGAAGATGAGGTATTATGATTATAATAATTTATTATAATATTAATATGATTCCCTCAGATTTATTTTATAAGCATTAACAAAACTAGAGTTGCAAGGGCTCAATCAAAATTCAATTAGGTTTAATTTTTTATTCAATTTTTACTTAAAATATGATACATGTTGGAGTTCTATCCAGAGTTGATTATACCGTTGATATTCATTCATGTTCTCTATCCACATTGGTAGTTGAGTTATTGTTATTAAAAACTATTTTTAACACGCTTATATTAGTTTCACCTGTATGTATGTATGTATGTTTGTAACTCTCCAAGCGCCACGCGTTATCGCATATTCCGTTGTCTAGACTAGATAAATAATAAATATAGTTAAAAAAAACTAAAAAAACACGCTTTTAAATCACATCGAACTAAAAAGTTAAAAATAATTTTAAACTTATTTAAAAAATAATTTTTCACTTTTTAGTTTCATGTTATGATAGTAGTTACTATCAATATCATGGTTGTAATGGGTAACGGGAAATCAAAGTTCGATTCCGGAGAGGGAGTCAGAGAAACGGCGACCACATCCAAGGAAATTAGGCGCAACAAGGTGCGCAAATTACTCACACCCGGAACGTGGAGGTAGTGACGAAAAATGACAATACGGAAATCATCCCTCGTAATCGGAATGAATACTTTATATCTCTTAATTAGAATAAAGCGTGTTAATATATAAATTTTAATAGTAATTAGAATATATATATACAAGTAAAGCGACTTAAGTACGTAAACGTATCATGCAATAGGTATAGCCGTGTTTTGTCGGCGGCCGGGTCGGACTAACGTTATACCTGACGTATAAACGGCGATAGGAATATATACGTAAGCCGTATGACACGCGGATGGTATTGGTCAGTCAAAATAAAAATTTGTTTATATATATATAATATTGATGACACGCACGCGTGTAAGGGTACGATAACCAAAAATAAATTTATACAGGAATAGTGTTACCGTCGTGTGGTGAGCGAGGCGTGGGGTGGGGTGAATGCGTTATGACAATCTAGTCAACGGAATATGCGATAACGCGTGGCGCTTGGAGAGTTACAAACATACATACATACATACAGGTGAAACTAATATAAGCGTGTTAAAAATAGTTTTTAATAACAATAACTCAACTACCAATGTGGATAGAGAACATGAATGAATATCAACGGTATAATCAACTCTGGATAGAACTCCAACATGTATCATATTTTAAGTAAAAATTGAATAAAAAATTAAACCTAATTGAATTTTGATTGAGCCCTTGCAACTCTAGTTTTGTTAATGCTTATAAAATAAATCTGAGGGAATCATATTAATATTATAATAAATTATTATAATCATAATACCTCATCTTCAGAAATTCTATTATATATTTATTGAAACATTTTTATTTACATCAGGAATTTCTGCCAAATATTAATGTTATTATTAAAATAATACGTTTTTAAGTTAAAACTGATAATTCTACCATTCAAACAGTGTAATAAATGTTACAAGGATATACTCTAAAATTTGTGGTATTTAATTTTAGCTAAAAAATGTTAAAGTGTATGCAACGTAGAAAATGCAATGATTAGTTACATTGTAGAATTTTTTACAATAACGGTTTTGTATAACAATACGATAAATTTTCAACGGAAAATAAATAATTGACTGATAAAAGTTCTTAATAAAAATATTTATATTAAACACTAGAGGGCGACACATAGCTTGGCCCCAAACACTATCAATAACGGCTCAGCTGAAAACATTGAAAATGCTAATCCCGTCTGTACATCCGTAATCGCACATGGCGGCATTTACCGGTGGTTACACTAAGGTAGTAAAGATATAATTTACTCGTATAAAAAGTATCGACAGTGGATTTTTAATTAATATCTGTCGTCATAACCTTTGTGAAAAATAATTTTATACTTCATTATTTTATATTTTTATAGAAATTTATTATGTCTTATAATCAGTAAGCATATCTTAAAGCTTTAATTAAAACGTTAAATTATGCTAAACATAAATTTTTACATTTTTTTCTGATATTTTAAATTAAAAATTTATTCAAGATTTTTTTTTATGAGGGTAATATTTATTGTGTTTGTAAAACAATTCTCTTTAAAAAGCTTATAATTTTCAATCAATTAAACAAAATTTATTATTTATTTATTTTTTTGTTTTAATATTCTGGATCAACATTAGTGGATCAACACTCATTACAATGTTTTGAATATTTACTGATATTTTTTGTTTTTAACAATACTTTATTTTAGTTGGTATTTTGTATGAATTATATTCCTTTGTAAGTTATCTACTAGTCATTCTTTGATTTTGGTTGGGATGCCATACTTTTTTTATTATTATTTATATAAGTTAAAAGAAAAATGGGCAATAATAAAAATGATAATTTCTTTGTTAAAAACATAGAGGTATAGATAATTATTATTTTATACTTCTTGTGTTTTTAAAACATCCACATAAAAGGACATAAAAACATTTTTTATTAAGCTAAAGCTTCCATAGGCGCACGTATGGGTAAATAAATAGTATACATAATTCCTATAATTTATGAAAGTACTGATAAGTGTCCTAATTATAATTTAGATTTTTTCATTAATCATATCTATTATTCATCAATTTTCATGTATAATTTTCTTTTAATGATTTATAATGTTCAAAAAAACCTGTTTTTTTAACCTATATTGTATTAAAGCTAATGTACTTTGTGATGAAAAAAGAAAAAATGTCCAAAATCTCAATTTTCAGAAGTTATTTGTCATTAAAGCCAAAAATCATACAGTTTACGGTAAAAATGACAGGTTTTGTTTTGCATAGCACTAGAATGTATATGTATAAATTATTTAAAACTAAATCAAATCTAAATATTTCTTTGTGTACTTTAGAATTAAAAAAAAAAGACATTCAGACAACTTGTCTTCTATGAGTAATCAGTCAAAAATTATGTAATTTTTGGTGGATATGTTAATTTTTTTTTCAAATATTGAAGCATTTTAAGACAGTTATTTTAATAACTGTCAGATATCAATAGATTATAAGTAAAAATACCTCAACTTTACTTTGATGAATACCACCTACTGTACTTCATTTTTAAATTATTAAATAATTATTGTATACTTAAAATTAGTTTATATATATTTAGTAGTTTTTTTTTTACTTGAAAATATTTTTTTAGGCTTTCTTAGGGGCTTCATATTAATGTTTAAAGACTAAAATTAAAATTAAAAAACTATTTTTTTAATTAATTTTTTTTTGGAAAATGTCATGTATGCTAGTAATTTGGAAGTATATATTAAACTTTTATAAAATAATTCTATTAACCATAACGATTCAATTTTCATTAACAACATGTAAAAGATTATTTTCATTATTGCACCATTTTAAATATTGGTTACTCATTAGTATGACACAAAATAGGTTTACTAATATTATTTTCTATGTTTTGAATATGATTTATCTAATATTTTAGTACTCCCAAGTTTTTGATTAAATGTGTGCCTATGAAACCTTTTTTTTATTAAAGCTTTTATGAGCCATTTAGACTCTTAGCCGCCAAAATTATTTCCTTCTATCTCTCTATCATATGCTTACTCCCAGTTCATTCCAATTTCTTCTAATAATTCCTTAACACTGTCCTTTCATCTTTTCTGCAGTCTTTCTCTTATTCTCTTTCCCCTCGTCATATGTCAATACTCCTTTCATCAAACTTCCATCAGCCCGCCACATGGCCTGCTTATTCTATCCTTGTCTCTGTGATGAATTGGACCACATTTTCTCTTTTGTAAAGCTGATATAGATGGGTGATCATTCTTATTTCCATCTCTGTTCCATATTATTGAATATTGTTCTGTACATTTTTTTATAAACTTTTTCTCAAATGAACAAAGTGTATGAAAGCTTCTAGAAAAATAATAAAAGTGTTATTATAAAATCCATTAGAAAATAAAATAAATACTTAACCTATCTTTAATACTTAATATAGTTTTAAATTGTATTTAATAGAATTAAATATACATTTTTTTAAATTTTTTGTATTTCTTTAGGGATATTGTTTATGTGGTAAATTTGAATTAATTTAAAAGAAAAGATTTATTGTTATAATGTCTTTAAATAATATATTTTAAAATAGCTATTACACTCAAATAATCACTTTTATCATTTATTTATTTTTCTGTAACTTAATTTTCAATATCTTTTTGTTTAAGTAGCTTGTAATAATATTATATATTATATAAAACATAAAATGTCTTAAAATTTAAAATCTTTGAGAATAAAAACTAAAAAATATTAACAAATTAAAAATTATTGATAAGTATTATTTTTAAAGGAATTCTGGTGCACAAATTTGCATTACTGATTATTCAAATAAACTTACAAAAGTAAGATTAATGTATTATAATTTTATTTATGAAAATAATATTTTTTAATGTTGATAACAGGATGGATTTTTATATTTATGCCAACCTTATGGTACAGTTAAAAATATTACGATTCATTGCAAAAGGCAAGATAACTTTGCGTTTATTGAGTTTGAGGAAGAAAAGTAATTATTTCCAAAGGCTTTCTAATAACTAAGTCTTTTTTTTAGAATAATATAATATTAAAAAATTTAATTTTAACATCCAATAACATTATTCAAAGCATTATTGATTAAATGAATAACTAAGTATGGATCCAGTGTGTATAATAGGTCAATTAATATAGAATAAAATAAAATATTGCATTTTTATACACAACAAATAAAATTAAAACAACATACAGGCCAAATAGAATAAAATGTAATTTTTAAACATAACTTTTTTTTTTTTTTTTTTAATTTAAGTATATGTGTTACTTATAAGTAAATTGTTATCCAGTGTCAAAAAAAAAAGAAGTACTAAAATTGTATATTATATTTTGCTTTTCCTTAGTGAATTAATTTATTGGTAGATAAAAAAAAACAAAATTAAGAAAAAAAATGTTTAACTTATGTTTTTTTTTATACGTGTTTTAGCGTTGTTAATGGTAACATTGTTTTCGAAATATATATGCGATTTTTTAATAATTTTTTTGTGGCTCTTTGAGTTTAATATTTTTTTGTTTTAAATTAATAATATTTTCAATAAAGTTTTAATGTCAAAGGGTGTTCATACCACCTATTAATATGTATATATAAATAAATTGTAATTTTAATTTTTCAAATTTTACTATAAATTGTATTTTTCATCCCTCCATCTCTTTTTTGGTCTTCCTCTACCTTTTCTTCCTTCAAAATTCATTTTTATAACTGACCTTATAGCTTTCAATTCCTGTCTCTACATAACATGACCAAACCATCCAGGTATATTTTGTCACATCTTATCTATGATTGACGCTACACCTATACTCCCTCTTATATGTTCGTTCCTTATCCCATCTTCTCTAGTTACTCCACTCGTCCATCTAAGCATTCTTATCTCTACTCTACTTTCTTGTCAATCGCACAACACTTTGAACCATGCATCATAACTGGTCTCACTACAGTCATATAGAATTTACCTTTCAGCCTCATTGAAATTCTATTATCACATAACACACCAGATGCTTTTCTCCATTTTAAACACCTGCACTAATTCTGTGTCTTACATCCTCATCAATACCACCACTCTTTTACACAACTGAGCCTAAATACTTAAAACTTTTCACCTCTCCCAACACATCCTTGCTTATTGTCACTGGTCTCCTTATTTCACCTACCTCATGTTCTCCTTTATCAAACTCGTACTCTATATACTCTGTCTTACTCCTACTTATTCTTAAACCCTTTCCTTCAAGAGCAGGTCTCCACACCTCTAGTCTTTGATTAATTTTTTCCTATTAACACTATATTATCAGCGAACAACATGGGCTTAAAGCAGAACCTTGATGCATTCCTATTTTTACCCTAAAACCTTCTATTACTCTTTCTACACTTTTTACCCTGGTACAAGTGCCATCATGCATATCTTCTATTATATTAATGTTTCTTTTTGGAACTCCTGATCCTAAATACTTAAAAATTAAGAAATATGTATTTAAAAAAAATGAAACAGTTCTTGTCCACCTCTTTAATAACTAAAACTAAGATGTAAAAAAATCACTGTATTTTATAATAATTAAAATAGTATTTTTAAATAGATTTTAAAATTTTAAATAATAAATATTTGATTGATATATTTTGTTATTAATATCTTGTTTAACTTAAAAAAATTTGTTTAGTTCTGTTCATAGAATATTAAATGAAAAATCAGTTTTTCCATCATGTATTTCGATTGAACTCTCTAATCAAGTATTAAGAGAATTGAAAACTATTTCAAATGAAGAAAATTTTCTTCCACTAGGTAATTCTGAACAAATAGAGAAATCTTCAGAAAATGATATAAATAAAACAGGAGAAGTTAATACAAGTGGGTCAGTACTTTTAAAGATTGATATATTTATTATCTATTCAGTATAATTGATATTCATTTATTAAATCATATTTTATGATAATCTGAAATTTTTCTAATTCATAAGTTTATTTTTTTTTTCCTTGAAATATGTTGTTGAACATAAATTACTTTTTAAAAATTATTAAAGTATTTGTTTAGAGTTTAAAACAATGTTAGAAGTAATGTGTCCAACTCATAGAAACCTAGAGTTAAAAAAATTTTTTTTTAACTTTTAAATAGCTCCATTAATAAACATTTAATATTGAATTTATACATTTAACTTTTTAGTATATAACATAAGAAAAAAACCAAAATTAATTAACAATTTATTTTTAAATAGTCGTATCTAACAAATAAATATTTTATTAAAATTTAAATCTATAACAAATATACATATAACAATAAATATAAATTGATATATCTACTTAAATAATAAATTTAAAGTTTTTATTTTTTATACACTTAAATAAATAAAATGTTTATTAAATTATAAATAATTACCAAGACCCAGAATTTTATTCGTTTATATATTTAGTTTAAGTCAATTTGAAGATTCCTAAATTTCTATAAATATTGTAGGACTATATAATAGCGTTAAAATATTTTTTGTTATATGGGGGACAAACCCCTCTAAATCTCCCAAAATTTTAACCTCAGTATTAATAAATTTTCAAGTCAATTAAAGAAAATTTTTACTGATGGTGTATTCAAAATAACTTTAAAAAATCAATAAATACACATAACTTCAGATACTAGTAATTCAACATATCTTAAAAATTTGTCCCCCATAACCAGTCTAATTTTATTCAAATTAAGCCGGTAAAAATTATTACTAGATGATATTTCAGTGGATGTGATTTTAGAGTTCTTTACATTGTCTACAAAATATAGATAATTTTGGATTGGTTATAGATCAATTCATATTATTGCTAAGATTATATCATTAAAAATTATTCAATTAACCATAATTTTAAAATAACCTATATGTAAATAAAAAATACTTTTCTCTTCATATAGACAATCAATTTATTTTGGACCTAACATTTACGGTGAAGATTTATTAACAATTATGAAACAAGAAAAACTTGAGGAAAAAGATAAACTTTTCAGTTTGGAAAATGATGAACTTTTTGGAAAGCCTATGAGCAAAAAATGGATTGCTATTAAAGAGTATATTACTAAATTAAAGTCTAATTTAATTTTAAAAAATTATCAAATTATTTTCAACCTTTTAGCTTGACGTTCCCTATTCATTCAATTGATTTTCATAAACGTTTTGAAAATTGTAATGATGGAAAAATTCAGATTGAAAAAAAATTGAGTCCTAATATGTTTACTGGTTGGATATCTATTTTTAATAATGGTGAAAATGTTATAGAATCATTAAAGGAGATTAGTAATGCAATTGAAAAATCTAATGTTTTAAATATGTAAGAGAATATAGTATTGGAAGTTGTTCATTTTAATCTATGATTTTTTTAATTTCATTAGAAATGACTTAGAACTAGGAATGTTAATTGGAGCGTTTGATCTTATCACAAATTTATTTGCCCGTGGATATGTTACATTTGTTGTTGGAAAGTCAGCCAATGTTGTTTTATGTGACTATGGTAGAGCAATCAATGCTACTACTTTTAGAACTCTTCCAAATGTTTATAGTTTATTACCAATATATTCTTTTAAAGCTTATACAAAAGGCGAAGATTCTGTTGCAATTCTAAAAGTAAGTACATTAACTATATTATAGTTTTTACTAATTAGGATTTTTAAAAATTCTAAAGACACAGACTTTTAAGTTACTTTTTAGTTGTATAAATGAGTTATAACACTTATAATAAAATAAGATTCAATCAATTAATTTTTTCTCTATTAAATTTTATGACATACTGTAATATATTTATTTTTGACCTTTAATATCTCTTTTTTTTTTTTCTAGAAATCACATAAATTCAATGTGAAAAGTGTTAATGCTGACAGAATTGTTTTAAAACTATTTATTGATGATAAAAAGGTTAAAATTCAACTTAAAAAATGGAAGCCAACAGTTGAAGAATATGGTGTACCGTATGTAAACATCAAAAGTGGTAGCAAAGTTGAATTAATAAAATTTAAAGATATGAATTCAGTATATATTCGTTCTAAAGAAAAAAGCCATTTTAACTTATTTTTTTCAACATGGAATAATTTGGCTGCATACTGTTATGAAAATCGTAACTATAAATTCATTATTATTTAAATAAATGACCCCGTTTTCATAATTATAGCCCAAAGTGTCCTGCCTGTAAGGACAGCTCAAAGAGCTTAATGCACGGCAGTGTATCAGGTCTGGGGCAAAGTGAAACCTAGTATTTAATTTAAACTAAAAATTTTGTTTTTCTATTAATAGTTAAAAGCATTAGTTCACTAATGGGCTTATGATTAGTACCTGTTAGTATACTGTTTTTGTACATATTCTTTATCTTTTGAAAAATATTTTCTGTAAAATAATCGTGTAGCTTATATTCAAAAGCTTATATGTCCCCAAATGGATTTTAGGTTTTGATTTATAATTTATTTTAGTACTAAAAAAGTGTTTATTTTCATAAAAAGTATTAAAGTTAAAATTTTTGACTATAAAATTAGTAAAATTAACTTTTACATTTTTGGAAAGTAGCTACAAAATTACATTTTTCTTATACCTAAGTTAACCAAAAAAATTTTTTTTTGTTTAGCAAAATCATTAAATAGAGAACCATTTTATGGAGAAATTATTGCATTTAAATCAAAGTTAGATAATAACAACTACACAAGAGCTAGAATCTATAAATGTTTGGGAAACAAATTTTACATTGTGAAACATATGGATAATCCATTTAAAGAGATAGTTAACTCAACAGAAATGATTGAGCTACAGTTTAAACATAAAATTGTATAAATTTCAAAAATGCATATGTATAAAGTGTTCCACCAGGTGTGAAATCTTTAATAACTTATAATCCAGTGAATATTTTGTATTAATTTTTTTAAAAATAATTATTACAATTTTGGAATATGTTAAAAGCATATAATTATAAATGTGCCTAATAAAAAAAAATAATATATTACAATTTTTTTTCCAAAAAATGTTGGCATGTTAACAACAACTTAACTAAAAGTACTTATTAAATTACTAGCATTTTAATACATTTTGTGAGTATGTAGCATTGGTACAGTATGTGTTATAAATATACATCAGTATAAGGTGTACCTATCCTCATTACATTTTCACTGTATGCACTAAAATACTTATCATTCAATAAGTACTTATAGAGTAAATATGTAGTAAGGTTAGGTACAGCTTGCACTGTTGTATATTTATTATATTTATAATGCATATTCTATCACTAATGATAAACCTGTAAAAATTTTCTTTTAAAATTTAAAAAAAAGGAAGTTACACAAAATATTTGCTGGATCAAAAGTTATTAATGATGTCAAAATTTGGTGGGACATTATATATATGTATATTTAATAAATTAAAAAATATACAGAATTATAATAAATATTCTTAGTTATCTTTATTATAGGCACCATTAAGTGTATTAAAAGTTGGTTTGAAAGAAGCTGTACCATATCCAATAAATGGTTGCGCAAGAGAGTTTATTAATCATATATTTGATCATAAGTTAACTGTGGTATGCATTATTCATATTTAGTAATTATTATAACTATATATTTATATTTTTAAGCATTTTAATGAAGATGATGATGGTTGGAAATCAATTGAGTTGTACCATTCTGTTATACGAGAAAATATTAACAATATTTTGCTAGGCCTTGCACAGCCAATGTGGTTAAAACCAATTCAAAATAATTCAAGTAAGCAAATTATTTTAGAATTTAACTGAAAGTAGCTAAATAGTTAACTATTTACTAGTTTCAATTTGCAAGTAATAAATTTTTGATTATTTAAGTTTCATATATAAAATTTTATTTTACATCTATTATTACAAAAAGAATTCCTGAAAATTTCTCATTTCAGAATTATTATAGAATAATAAATTATTAATTATTAAAAAAATTTTGATTTAAAATACAAACATTAAAATATAAATTTAAATATACAGAATGCCTCACTAATTGATATTTTAAATTTGATTATCATTTATAACACATATTACTCGGACAACGCGGTCGGTCGTCCAAACACTGCTCGTATGTGCATTCATACCCACTTATACTCCTAGTATCTAAGGGAAACAACTAATGTTTGCACATTTATATATAATGTTAAATGAGTACTCGTAAAAATAAAAATAAAATAACAAGTTAACTAATCTAAACCTAAAATTTAATTATAAAACAAGTTATAAGTATAATTATGACTTCATTGTAAATTTTAAAGTACATTTTTAACAATTTAGTTATCATTTTTTCAAGCTTAATTTTTTTTTTAGTGGAAGAAATTGGAAATTATTGTAAGCACTCACATTTATTTAAAAATGAATTGCCTGTAAAATCATCTGTACACCTAACGTTTGTATTGTATCACGAAGGAATTTTTTATATGAGAGATAAACATTTTGGCAATTCATTTTTAACTATGAACAATATGATAAAAGAGTATTGTAGTTTGAACTTATGTCCATATTTACCTCATGACAATGAAGTTTGTCTTGGACAATTTCCTGGTATGTATAAAATTAAGCAATATGTAACTTAAAAAAAAAGATATTATGTAAAAGGTTTAAAAATATGTTGATATTTTTTAAATTATTAGCTTCCTATTTTTGGGTTATTAGTTTATACATACAATAATTAATTACTTAGTATTTTCATTACTTATTTGAAAGTTATTTAAATGATGTAATAATTTAAATTCAAACCAAATTAACATTGAAATAATGATCATAATACTAAATTTAATTATATAACTTGGCAAATGAGATGGACTCACATTTTAAATAAAAATATGATCAATGCATGAACTAGAACTTTTAATTACTCTAATAACTGTTTTATACACGGAAAGAAACTATGAGATACCAAAATATTAAGATAATACTATTCACAGAGATGATAGTAAAGCAATATTAAAATTACTACCAATGATATGATTACCAATTTTATTATCATTTTGAAGATAAACCTTGGTGTATAAAAAGTGTTGATAATAGTGTACTATCGAGTGATGATGTGAAAAAAAAGGTGGAAGCGTATTTTGACAATATACCGAATATGGAATATCCGAAAGAAACATTAGAGGATATCTCTTGGAACAAGGGACTGGTAGATTTAATTAGTGAAAAAGAGATATGGAAGGCTGTGACATCAATGAAAAAAATAACCCAGCACAGTGGGATCGCGGCACANAATAACCCAGCACAGTGGAGTCGCGGAATAGTGGGGATGTGGCATAGTTGGGTCCAGTATAGATTTAATCTGACAGTGATGAAAATCACTATCATAAGAAACGTTTCGATGCAAATCTGTAGGTAGTGTTTAATTCTAAGAAATTGGTAGATAATTACAAAAGCAAAATATTTTAAATTATATATTATATAATTATTACAATTAATTCTTTTCAAATTGTTATTGATTTTTATTTTTAATATGTTAAAAGTAATAATTTTTTAACCTACTTTATTTCGTCCGTTAAAGTGAAAATTTATAATAAAAAAAAAAAATGAATTTATTACCATAACTTTGAGCTCAACTTGCAAGTTTTTTAATTGACATTATTAAATAGAAAAAAATGAAATTGTTAAGATTAATATGCAATCAGGAAATTTTATAATAACTATTTACATTAAATTTATCAGAAAAGTTTGATTTTATTTTACATTTTTATCGTAATAGATCACTTAAATAAAAATCATAGTAATCATTTCTAATAAACTTTTGGTGTTTAAAAAGATTCTACAATGGAAATATTCAGAACTTAATTAGTTTTAATAATTTACTTTAACTAAAAGAACCAATAAAAAAAAAGTTGTTAAAAAGATTGAGCATATTATAAAATTTGATTATAATTGTAAAAATCCATCGTTAAATTCAGGTGAATTTTGAAGAATCTTTTTTTTTTAAATGTATGATTTATATAGCAACATGTTACAAATAAATTTGGAATATTATAGACTGGTAGTAGCACACACAAATAGAGGAGTTAAAAATTAATAAATTACTAAGTAAAATTATTTACATTTGTAGTTGAATACTTTTATCATATCAAATCTAATTGGACAATAAATACTTTAAAAATATTAGAAATGAATAATTTAAATTTTTTGTATGAAAAAAGCTGGTTAAGCTACTTTTTATTTGAATAAGGAATATTTTTTCAATTTTTAAGGGTAATATCTTCAACTATTTACATAATCATTTGATGTATCATTAAAAAAAGTAGGTCAAGTGAGGGTTGGCAAAATAAATGTAGCCACAAAAAAAACCACATAGTAAAATAAACATTAACATGAATATAAATTTCTTCTCACGAGGGGAGACTATAGTGATAGAATCCTTTATATTTATTGAAGTTATTGAATCTAAATGAGATAAAAATCAAATGATTTGAAAATTTTTTTCTAACTCAAAAAAAAATGCAAAATATTAATTGCCACAGACGGATTTGAACATCGTACCCTATGCATGAGAGACACAAATGTTATCTATTCAGCAACTGATCGTCGCTTTTGTTGCATGATAAAATTAACAGTTTAAGTTAATTCAAATTAAAAAATTACTTTATCAACTTTAAAAAAGTAAAAAAAATTTAATAAGTTTAATTTCTTATGTCTTATGAAATTCATTCTGTGTTAATTAAATTATATAATATTTATGATAGGCAGTGTATTCCCCTTGTAAGATATTTTAAAATAAAATAAAATACATAACCCTAGAATTTTAATACAAAAATAGCATATTTTTGAATACGGTAGCCATTTACATATAGAAGATAGGTTGTCGGACAAATTTTTTTTTTTAATAATAAAGTATATAATATAAGCTTTAATTTAAGATTCAATATAACTGTGTTGGCGTAGGGTGATTGATAGGGTAGTATTGTGGTGCCGATACTTAAAAGTAAAGGAGACATACAGGAGTGTGAAAATTAAAGAGGCATAAAGCTTATGAGTCATAGTATGAAAATTTGGAAAAAGATAATAGATAAGAGAATAAAAAATGAGACATCGGTATCTAAAAACCAGTTTGGATTTATGCCTGGTAAGTAAACTATGGAGCCAATTTTTGTATGAGGCATCTAATAGAAAAGTTTAGGAAAAGAAGAAAAAGCTGTGTATGGTATTTATAGATTTGGAGAAAGCGTATGACAGAGTACCAAAAGAGGTTTTAAAGTGGGCATTAATGAGAAAAGAAATCCAAAAAAGGTACATTAATATAATAGAAGATAAACATGATGGCAGTTGTACCAGGATAAAAAGTGTAGGAGGAGTAATAGAAGATTTTAGGGTAAAAGTAGGAGTGCATCAAGGTTCTGCTTTAAGCCCATGTTGTTCACTGATGATATAGTGTGTGTTAATAGGAGGAAATTAATCAAAGGTGAGGACGTGTTGGGAGAGGGGAAAAATTTTAAGTATTTAGGCTCAGTTGTGCAAAAGAGCGGTTAGATTGATGAGTGGAGTTACTAGAGAAGGATAAGGAACGAACATATAAGAGGGAGGTTTGGTCATGTTATGTGGAGACAGGAATCGGAAACTGTAAAATCAGTTATAAAAATGAATGTTGAAGGAAGAAGAGATAAAGAAAGATAAAAAAAAATATGGAGGGATGTAATCAAATGCGATATGAGGACAGCTGATATGGGAGATTGTGTCAAGGGGAAGTTTAGGATAAGGGTGTCCGACCCCAAGTAGTTGGGATTAAGGCGAGGAAACAGAAAAAGACTAAAATCATTAGGAAACCTATAAATAGTCAATATCTTAAAAAGCTTAATATTACATTTAACTATTAGCTCAACTTAATTAAAATTAAATATCACATTATAACTAACTATTTTTATGTTTAATATATATTTAGAATTTTATCAGGTCAAAAAAATAATCATGTTTTTTTCTAACTTGCTCTGCTAACCAAAGTAATTTTTTATTGATGAATGACTAATGATTATTTTTTTTATACATCCATTAGGGAAGTTTTTACTTAGCTCATTGATACTTATAGCACTTTTATTTATAAATCTCATTTAGAACTAATACAAGCCTATCTTTAATATCTTTTGAAGCACATACAACAACATTTTACTATAAAGATTATTCGTAGAACAACTATGCTAAACTTTGTGAATACCAATATTATTAATATCACAATTTAATTTATTAACTAAAGAATAAATTATATCCATTTAGTATTCATTGTTTGTTTTTGGAATACATGTCAGATTCAAAATCAATTTTTTTTCTACAAGAAACATTTTTTTTTTATATAATTGAGGATCTTATATTTATTACATGATACATGATAAATCGACAAAAATCACAACATTAAATATGCATAGTAGGAGACATATTATTAACACATATTTTATATAGCATATTATTATAATACAACCGTCTGCTACACAAATTGATTGAGAATTAATGATTTAATATGTGAAATTTTAATACTCAGTGAAATATTATTATTATGTCTTATTATAGATGGACTATGGTACAGAGTAATATGCATTCAAGTTAAACCAGGACATCTAGCTAAAGTATATTCAGTCGATTTGGGCAATATAGCTTTTTTAAATACCACAAATATGAAAAAAATACCTGAAGAAGTTTTATATCATCCAGCTCATGTCTATTTATGTTTGTTAGGTAATTTTTTTTAATACCTTTTCCAATAAAAATTTTTTTTAATAATTTTGAAAAAATTTCATATTTAGATAATGTGGATGTAATAAGCCTAGAACAAAATGAAATTTTGAAACAACATGAAAATACTGATGTTGATTGTACTATAGTTAAATACTCAAATAATAAATATTTATTTAAATGTCCATTTCTTGAAAATATCCTGAAATGAGTTTTAAATATTTATCTTTTAATAATATATTAATAAAAAAAAATTGTGCAATTTATATAAAACATTCATTGAATTTTGAGGAAAAAAGATAAAATATTGTTCTTTTGGAAAATAAAATCTCTTAGTTTTTTTATTTTAAAATAATATTTTTCTATCACTTAAAGTAAAAAATTATATGAATTTTTTATTTTGTTAAATGTTACAACATTTCTTTTAACTTAATGATAACAGTTATTACTTATTAATTTTTTATTAAAATTAATACTTATTGTTGTTCAACTTTAATTTCTGTCACTTTTACTGCATCAGTCTCAGATTTTTCATTTTCTTTTAACTTCATTGCTGGTGCTCCAGTTTGTATAATTGGTACACTTCGTTCACCAATTGTTTCAGTATTCTAAATTTTATTTTAATTAATATTTTTAAGTAAATTTTGTTACAACTAATTGTACATATTTTTTTTAAATTAATAATTTACTTATAGTAAAATTAGATTATTCATCTTATTTTATTTTAAAATTTCCCCTGGTGTAATATTAATACTAATCATAATTGATTGAGCATATGCAAAGAACCATTCATCAAATTTTTTTTTTTTTTTTTTCAAAAATTATGATTTTTGTATAAACTTCATGTTTCATCATTACCAACATAGATATTTTAGTTTAAAATTTTCATGCTATGTATCTGAATGTATTGAAAATTTTTCATTTTGTGAAATGTATGATTTAATTTGCAATGTAATTGTGCATTTTTCACATAGGTAGAACATGAATTAACACCAGATTGAGACAAAAAGTCTTATCAAGGTTTCTCATTAAGAAGGCCCATATAACTTTGTTTTTGGATTAACATTTCAAATGTATCAAAATTAATTTTAAAATATGCTACTTAACTTCATTTAAAGATGATAAAGTAATATACCAAGTTGTTTCTTAAACATTTTATATTAAATCAATCAATCTCTTATTAGAAGTGCTTGTAAAATATTTTTAATAGTTCATCTAATTATCTGTTAGCTCTGGCTTGAATAAATATCTTTGAAAGCTATGTTTATTTTCCCTTATTAAACATTTTTTTTTAAAACAAATATAATTTTCTAAATTATTAAAGGCTTATTCTTCAACTAAGAGTACTATACCATTGGTTGTTTAACTAACTTATAAACCTTATGAATGAATGCATTTGTAGGTAGAAACATGTACCATTACTAATTAGATAATCCATGCATAATTTTTGGAGAAATTAACAAAAGTTTTAAAAAAATAAGTGATCAAAGTTTATATGGGGACATTATTTTTTAGGTGAAATTATTTGAAATAACTATACTAGTTGGAAAAATATCAGACAACATATGTTAAGTTTTTGTCAAAAAATGTAAATACCCCTAGTTATATTAAGTTCTTTGTAATTACGTTTTTAATTACTTTTACGATTAAATACGTTTTATACTACTATGAATCAGAAGCGCCTGGTCAAGTATAAATGGGTGGGTTTATTAACAAGACATTTTTATGAGCTAATTTGACCTGTTCTGTTACTGATATTATAAATAATAATATTATACACTAAATAATACATGACATCTGTATAGTAAATATTTTTAATGAAGTGATCATGTGTTCAATAAATGTTCAGTCACATGAGATTTATCAACTCCTTGATTTTTAATGTTTTTTAAACTATCCTCTATATTTCTTTTTGTTTTTCCTGCGTTACATTTATTACAAATTTTGCATTGTTTTCAATAATGATTTTATAGAAAACCCCATAGGTGTTTTTTAAATATGTTTCGAACCTACTCATAAAAAGTTCTGCTAAAAATGGTGATAGCAAATTTCCTATTTCTGTGCCCTCAATTTGCTTATAGAATTTATTTTGAAACTGAAAAACATTTTGACCTAAACAAAATTTTATTAAATAGATAAGCTCATTTATTTTATCCTGTTTTATGTTTTGTTCCATTAGCCAGTTTTTAAGAAAACCAATTGTTATATTTATCGGAATACTCGAAAGTAAGGCTACTACGTCAAAAGAAATTAACCAATCATTATTTCGAATAGTATAACCATGTCGTGAACGGCATCTTGAAATATGTAGCAATACTTAATAGTCTTTTAAATTAGATTTTAAAGATTATATTTTAATGGTGTTTTGTTTACTTTAAATGTTGTCTTAACCTTGTATTAATTCGTAATTAATCATGTTTCTTAAAATATAAAAAGGGACATGAACACAAATAAAATGATCAGTACTCATAGTGAATATTACATTGTATTTTTACTTTGACTCTTCCTATTGGTACTCTTCCGACTGGCTGAAACTGGACTTAGAAACCCAGTTCACCACAACCAGATTATTTTTTAACTAAGTTAATTTATTTGTGAAAACGTTTCGCAATATCTAGCGCTGGCATTGCTCATCATTTCTTTAGGATTGGAGCACCATCCAGTTTAAAACACTATAGTGTTTATAATAGACGTAAATATATTTGCGCTAATTAATTCCAAACCCGTTTATAAAAATATTTTTAATTATTTCCCTCCTACATAACGTTTACTTGAAGATCCCCATGAATACATCTTAATAAACTAATTATTAATTACCTTTTTTGGTGCACTGACTGTAAGGACTCCATCCGAAGACAAGCTGGAAACAACTTTTTCAATATCTACATCTTTAGGTAGTAAATATCGTCTTTTGAACTGTCTTGATATAAAACCATGTTCATCTGGTTTTTCTTCGTGTTTAGCTTCCACAATTATCGCTCCATCAGATGTTTTAACTGTAATTTCATTAGGTGAAAATTGTTGAACATCCAAAATTACTTGTACTTGATTGTCGCCAAAAGTTATGTTTGACATTCCACTATTTTGTCGGCTAATTACATTTTGCCAAGGCCTATAATAATTTCCAGATCTTAACGGCGACACTAATGTAGTAGACAGGTTATTGAGATCGTCTCTATGTAGCCCCAAACCAAAGTGTTGATCTATCAAGCGTCTAGGAATTCGTTCTCTTTCAAAATCATCCCACCAGTCACGAAAAAATAAAGGCACTAAAGAGGACATACCTAAAAAAATTAATTGTAATACTATCGTGAAAAGAAATAATATTATAAATACTCGTTAACTGTATGAGATCTTACTTAATAATTTTTTTGTTAAATTTTGTAAAGCTAAAAACTGTTGTGATGTAACGGATCAATGTTGAAAAATAACTTAAGTTCGTGTTATTTATATTCAACTTCCCTACTACTATTACTTGTCTATATCTTTGGTTTTATTTTTACATTTACTAGAAATGGTCTCAGATCAAAGATGAAAAAGATAAAAATGTTTACGTGGGAATATGTATACAAGTTCCAAAAATAACATGATGTTTATTTTGTTTCGTATTACTCATTCTTTCCATTATTAACGCCTTTAATTTTAAGTACGGTTGCCAAAATATTTTTGTTAGTATTCCATTATTAAAATAAACGAAAAATATATTTCATGTGAAACAACATCGTTACACGATTTATAAGTTGTGAATGTATTATTTAGAAAATTGTATAAAAGTTTTTATTGGTTTACCCATGTAATATATGGTAACTTACTTATTATGTAGTTATTGAGTTATGTGTGGGTAATTAAGCCTAGCTGGGTCTTATTATTCGTGTCTTCCTTATTTTAAACTAGTCGTAGGGCAAAACGGGGTAGTGCTACATGTACGTGTGATCATACAGCAGTCACCTTGCTCGTCTGACACTTCAGATAAGCAGTGGGTGTCATTTATTGCAATTTAAAGAGAATAAGGGTAACACCTAAGTATGAGGTGCAGACGAAGTGTAAGACACAAGTACTCTGAAAATGTAGAGGACGATAGTGGATGAATTTATTTTCGTTAAAAAAAATTAGAAGGGAGAAACCTGATAACCTTCAATTTTATTTTTAGATTTCATTATTCTTACACCTTACTAAATATTGAATTACTACTTGTGACAACAATAAAACAACATCTCATATACCAAGTCACGATACTTTACCGAGTCAACTAGGTAGAATGCCTATGATAATCTAATAACAAAATTTAATAAATTATTAATTTATCACTATATCAAGTATATTAACAAACCACCCTTTTAGCCCTTCTGCCTCACCAGCAAATATTTTATAATTTCGTTAATTTGTTAACTTTTGACATTACTAACAAAACACCCTAAAAAGAAAGGTTAAATATTAAAAATATATTTTTCACACCTCTTAAACAAGTTCAGGATGTCCCTAATTCTAGACATATGATCTCAAAGTAAATTATCTCTATAGTTCTTAAGAACACATATTTTTATTACTTTCCTCAATTACTTAAAAAATACAGATAAGCATGAACATATATAATATAGAGCGTAGAATAAATTATTTTTATGTAATTAAAATTTTTTTTTAATCAATAATAAAAAAAAGTATATGAACATAAATAGTAATAATTAAATTATTTATTTTATTTTAGTTGCACAATAATTATATCAATGACTAAGGAAAGTGATTCAATTTTTTTTTAATTTAATACATTTAATACTTATCACAAGCAGTCTAGATTAAGTTAGGAACAAAATACAAAAATATCCAAGACCCCTCAAATTAACAATGATATTAAGCTAAAAAGTACAAAAATATCATACTGCAATGATCACAATAAAAAAAAAAGTACATTTGATGTGCACATAAAATATAAGCATAACTTATTGAGTACCAACTACTTCTTTATCAACATCTTTAGCTTCTCCAAGAATATGTAACAATAATTCATGCACAGGTTCAAAAATTTTACGATAGCAAGAATCAGTAGGATGTAAATAGTCCAGCATATCTTGTGCACTAAGTGTATCATCAGATTGCAATAATCCAGTGTTCACTGTTATTACTTCTAATCGTGGTATAAGTTTAACTCTTTCATGAATAATTTCATTAACTTTTGAATTTCGAACACGTAATTGATTAGGTTTTGCACCTCTTGGTAATAAATCCTAAAACAAAATAAAATTATAATAAATAGTGTACAATAATTCTTAAATTTAATAAAATTATTTATATATAACATACCTATTGAAAAATTATTAGAACATTTTTATACAATAATGACATATTATTTACAATCATAATACATAGAAATCATATTGTTTCGGCAAATAATTTTGAAAATATAAGCAGCTTGATTTGGAATATATTTTTAGAGAAAAAAATTGTAATTATTATGTTTTTTCTCCGGATAAAGTATACAGTAAATATTATAATAATTAAATTTGGAAAGTATGAAATGATATATAATAGGTATATATATATATAATCATATATAATATACACTATTCATGTATCTAGTACTTAAAATTGAAATATTTTTTTTAAGGTATAAAGGGGGATAATTGAAAGATATTATAAGGTTTAGATATTCCTAGAACAAGAATATTTATATAACGAATATACATTTATTTTTGTTTGGTTTAGAATAGTAAAACATTTTAGTTGGTATGGTGTGGCACAGTGAATTATTCAGTTGGCAACTTAGCGTTGATGTTCAGCTTAGCTGTTTGCAGTTGGTTCTCATATGGGTAACCATATGAGAACTTTTACAGTGACATATACCTTGTCCGTTTACTAGTCCCTTCAGCCATAATGAGGATATGTCAAGTTGATAGCTGATGAAAAATCCTGTCAAATCAAATGACTGATCTCCAAAAAGCTAAGAAAGAGGCTAATGAAATGATAAGGGTAGTGAAAAATGTTCTTATTTATAAGTCCCTCTATAAAAAACCTAAATTACACCACTAGTGGTATAACTTTTATATATTTTTTTGTAGAGATATAAATTTTCTAAATTGAATTGTTTATATTAATGGATAATTAAATAGATTGCAGGCAAACTTTTACATAAATAAAAAAAAATTTAATATACGCAAATATTTAACAAAAAAATGAATTTGAGGGTGAAAGAGTTAAGTTATGTAGAAAATGTTTTGAACACTGATATATAAATATACATCCATGTTAGTTAATAATAGGTGTGAGCCGTCATACTAAAACAGATAGTAACTTATAAGCTTAAAATGTCAATACCTGGTTTTTTTACATCTTATATTTAAAGTGACGTGGGAAAATTAAAATAATATAATCAAATAATTAACTATTAATGCAAGTAATAATAGTTCAAGTAAAACTTAATTTATGTAAAGGGAAACAAGACATCAACAGTTACTATTAAAGAGATCAAAAATATGTTGTATATCATATATAAGGGTGTTGATTTATACCTATCTTCAATTAATCATAACTTGATAATCAATGGTTACATGGGCATTGTACTGTTACTAATGTTTCTAGGATTAAATTTGCTACAAAATTAACATATATACCAAAAATTTCTAGATTCCAAATTTTAAAAATTCTATATGAACGTTTAAAATTCAATAAATAAATTCAGCTAAAAAAACATTTTCATGTGTTATAATATAATACAATCTTACATTAGAATAGATGTAATAACAAAAATAACTGTAAAACTAGAACTTTTATAGTAAATATTGTAATATGTAATAATATTTTAAAATTTACCATACTGTGTTTTCTATAATAGATACAAATTTTTCTTTGATTTTATAATTTAGTCTATAGAAATGGTAAACATTTTGAACAAAATTAAAAGATCCCAAGGTAAAAAAATTTGTTGATTATACATAAAACACCATATAGTATTCTTAACAACTTTTTTATAATTGAGATAGTTATATATATATTCTTTTGTAATATCCAGGATAATTAATATGGATTGGAAAATTTAATATAACGTTATATATTTACCAATAATATAATATAACAGTCTGGTAATCTAGATTTTATTTCATTAACAATTGTAAGAATTCCTTCCGATATTTCTTGTGGAGTATTACCAAAATTATTAGTTCCAACATGTAAAACACACGCCTAAAACAAAAATATGTATTAATAATAATTACTAATATACAAGTTATCAGTTTCTTAATATAAAATCAATCTTTTGTGAATCTTTTAGCACTTTTTATAAACCTGATAAGAAAAAAAATTATTTTGTCACAAGTTCTAATAAAATTATTTGAATAACTCAAATATGTATTTCAATTGTAATATTTCTAAACAAATATTATTATAATTAAGAAACTATTCATTTTATTAATGTTTATTACACATGAAATTTATAAAAATATGTATATGTTAAGATAAAATATTTAAATTTATTTGAGTTCATTTTTTAAGTTTCAATTAGGGTGAAGTAGAATAATTGTAAATGCATTTTTCTAGATAAATGCACAAGTTTTTATTTTGAACTTACATATAATATTACAGCAACATATATAAGAGCCAGAACTTTTCAATCTAAAATAAAATCTGTTCAATATTTTAAAAGAAAAAATTAATTTATAATTTCCTCTCGTTTCCATTTACATCACTTCACTAATTTATTTCAAATACTAAACGTTGTTTTCAACAATCTAAATAAATTTTATTATTATCAATATTGTAAAAGGTGTAGTACAAAATGAGAAGAAATATAAGATTTTAATCAGCTATTCAAACAAAATTTATCCCTCTCATTCGACAAACTTTTTTTTTAAATAACACCATTTCTATATATATATTTATTCATATATTACACTTATAAATCATAAAACTTGTTATCAGGATATAAATAAGGAAATAGGAGATCATGTAGCTTTTGGAATAATCCATCGTTTTTTATGATAGTGATTTTAATCATTGTCAGATATCATTATACTTGACCCAACTATGCCACATCTCCACTATGCTAGGTTTTTTTTAATTAAAATTAAAAAATACATATAATTTTAATATTATAATATTATCTTATTATTAATTCTAAAAAACATATATTTTAAGTATTTTTTACTTGAAAATTATGATTTTAACACCAGAGTTATAGTACACTGATATATACAAAAATTTATAGTTCAAAGTTTTTTCTGTATAAATGAACTTAGCTAATTGTAATTAAGTACTTATTTAAATATTTTTCTTGAATTTTAAGATATAATTTAGTTTAAAAGGTTTAATAAATAGAAATCTCAATAAATATATTAGCTATACTGATTTATTTTTTATTTTTATTTATTAAGATTATACTTTGACTATTATAAATACTAATTAAATTTGTCTAAATAATAATATTTGCACTCCGAAGAAAGAAAATATTAGCATGAATAATTATGATTGAAACTGTAAAATGATATTGGGAATCAGAGTACAAATTAAATACTATTTAAAATTAGTATTTATGGTTATATATAAATAAAGCCTACCTAGAGAAATAATGACTGAAAACAAGTAAATCATAATGTTAAAACTTCAAAGGACATTTACAAAAAAATGTTAAAATATAGAATAACTATGTAAGATACAATTTCCAATATTATTTTTTTTCATTGCAGAAAATATTTTTAATAAATTTATACTTTAGACTAAAAGATATAAAATAAAATTTTAAATACTTAACATACTTTTGGTTTAATATTATCAAGAATGCCATTTTGAATTCTCCATAAGACTCCTTGAGTTAAATCTCCACCAATTCCAAAATTCAAACAATGCAACGGTTCAAATAAATCATTCCATATGGGACGTAACTGTAATTGTTGTATAATTGAATCACCGATTAATATAACATCAGGTTCGCGTTCTTTGGCTTCTGATACATGTCGTTCATGCTGAAAATAAAAGTTAAAAAAATTTATAAAAATAACTTTAAAAATTTTAAGAACTCACTTGACTCATCCATCTGTTATCACCTTGAGGGTCTTCAGGAACACAGGGAATTATACAAGAATTCATTTTTAAACAAGATAAGTGTAATAAATTTGAACAAAAACTATTTTAAATAAACTAAATAGAAATTAGAAAATAAAGACGTATAGTAACTAATTAATAATAATTAACAATTGACAAGTCGTTGGGATTTTCAGTAAAATTTTTTAAATTTATGCAATTCAAATGAATGTAATTATTACAAACTTGGCTGTAACAAATAGTTAACTGTTAAAAAACATTTGATAATATAAATTAAGATAACCTATAAAAACGTATTAACTGTAACACACGATCAAGGGTGGTAAAAAATAGAAATGTTTTCGCATATTTAAGTGGCTAATTTACCAAACTTATCTTCTAGAATCTTAATATAGATAGATAAAAACAATTGAATATATGATAATATTTTAGTAATATTCAGACTACTTAATATAATTGTGAAGTAATACAAATTCTTAGGAATTTTAATAAAGTTAGTTTTAAACGTTTTAATAAAATAATAACTCACCTAAACATTATTTATAAAACAAATCAGTGCCATTAAAAAAAAAATTATTAATAACTGACATAGAGAAGTATACTGATTAATATTACAAAGGTGGACTATCACATAACTAAATTGATAACTGATAATAGAAAAACAAAAACTTAGAATTAAAGCAAGTTTTTGAAAAAAAAAATGTGCACATTACACTATATACAAATTTGTCAAGATTATTTTATCATTTAGAAATTTTACGTTTAACAATAAAATTACTGAGTTAGTTATAAAAAATTATAATAATCAAATAAATAAATAATGTCTATCAATGAATTTCCTAGTATTTATATTCATAGCTGTAACAATGAAGATCCTTTAAAAATTATTCAATGTGAGTTGCATTATTTATTTTAATCCTAATATTTAATAGAAAAACATGATATTTTTATAAGTAATAACTTTTTTATAAAATGTTTGCATAACATGTTATACAACCATCATAATGGTTTTATTAGGCTGACTAAAAAAAAATCATGAAAGACATTGGTAATGAAACAATCTTGTATTTAATTTTATTTAAGATATAAGTAGATATTTAATTCCTGTTATATTTTTACTGCGAATTTCCTATAGGTAGGCATCAATCGCCAACTTTCTCCTACCTGGATGATTTCTTGTCATTAATTAGTACAATTTATTATTAATTTGATAAAATATAATAAATTTTCAGGAAAACATTGAAATTCTTAAAATATTGATCTGTAGAAATGAAAACTGTTTGAGAGAATAACTTTTTATATAAGTGTATTATTTAAGTATGTAAAAGTTAAAAATATAAAATTAAAAAACACTTTATATTAATTAAAAAATTAAAATCTATTGTTAGTATTTTTGTATAAAAATCATATTTTTTTTACAAGGCAAGAAATACATTTTAATGAATTTTTAGGATTAACAAAAATATTCAAATTTAGATGGCAATATTTTTTTAAATGTGTACAAGATACAACCGATAGAGTAGGTAATTGATTTGACACTATATTGTTTAAACCCAACTAAACGCTAAATTGTACATTCCCAAACAACAATCATATTATGTCAATTGCCACCGGAATTTATAATATTATCTTATTATTAATTCTAAAAAACATATATTTTAAGTATTTTTTACTTGAAAATTATGATTTTAACACCAGAGTTATAGTACACTGATATATACAAAAATTTATAGTTCAAAGTTTTTTCTGTATAAATGAACTTAGCTAATTGTAATTAAGTACTTATTTAAATATTTTTCTTGAATTTTAAGATATAATTTAGTTTAAAATTCACCTAAGCATCTCTGCTACACTCATTCTCTGCTCTACTATTGATTTATAGAAAAACAAAATTATATTATTTTATGGTCAGTTTAGTGTATATAGAAAATTTATTTCAAGTTGAGAGGCATGTTAAACATTAAATATTTATTGTTGTTTTAGTTTTAAATTAACTTTATTTAATAAAAGATAAAATAATAACATCATTGTATGAAAAGGCAATAGTAAATTTATTTTCCAAAAGCTGTCACTTTGAGCAATTTTTCAAAAAATTGATACTTCCAATAGTATCCTCTGAAAGTTAACAATTTTGATGTGAAAATAACAAATCTTCCGAGTAAAATTGACAAAATTGGTATGTGACATATAATATCCTTTGCTATACTCTACTTCTTCTAAACTCCTTGCTTTGTTGTTGCAAATCTGGTTTTCTGTTCTTCCTTGTTTATAACCAGTATTTCCATGTCCTCTATAAAAATCTTAATCCATTTCTATGATGTGTCATCTTGTTTTTGATATTAACAACAGATTAATTTTTAGTTTATAAAAAAATAACAATGTCACTTTATTATACATCTTGAGTTATATTATGTTTATGGGTTGACAAAAATAGTACTGATATGTATATACATATATTTAATAAAAATCAATTTTTTTTTTAATTTCAACATCTTAGACATATTAACTGTTAATAGTATATTTATAAAATTTCAAAAATAATAGATTTAGCAATTGAAATATTTCTAGATGCCCTTTTAAAAAATCAAAAACAATTCGTTTAACGATCATTTTATTAAAAAAAAAAATACAAAATTGAAGTATGAATTTTTATATTTAAAAATCCAACCAAAAAAAAATGTATGTATAACTTGTCTATTAAAATTGTTTTGTCAATATATTTATGAACCAGTATTTATTAAATTATTTTATTTTATAGTAAAATTTTATTTATTATTAATTTAAAATATGCTGACTGTATATTTTAGGTTTTACCTGTTTCTTACCCTAGTGACTTCTATTTAAGTATTGAATGCTATGTAAAAATTCAAAATATATTGCTTTGATATATATGATTTATGATCAAGTTACTTCACAAAAAATAATTACAATAATGATTAAATATTTAATGAATGTCAGGTTTTCAACTATAAAAACTCATAGCAAATATATAAATTAAACATTTTCAAATGAGTAACTGTTTAATGTATTGAAAAAATGATAAAATAAATTATGTACTTCATAAAAGCTATTGTAATAAATAAATTTTGTAAATTATTATTACTTATAATTGCAGCCATAAAAAATGAAGATAACATAGAAATTTATAAAAATGAAGGTGATATTTTTTCTTATCATTGGGAATTGGATTGCAAGTATTATACAGCAGAAGTACAATTGTGCACGTCAAATAACTTAAAAAATTTAAGTAGTGCATTTATAGAAAATATTAATGCGATAATAATTTTATTTAACCAAGAAAATGTGAGTATATTACCTTATAACTCAAAGAAACCTAGGGTAATATTATACTTGAGCAAATTTTTTTGTAAATTTGTACAAAGAATATTCTTTATTTAATGACCTTATTTTTGATAAAAAAATTTTTTTAATTATGTACTTCAAATTTCAAAAAAATAAATTAACAAATATAGTATCAAAGCTAGAATTATGAAGGGAGATCAAATTTATTTTTCTTGAAATAAAGGCTGCAGCAAAAAAGACTATTAGTAGTGTATTCATTGAGAATTATAAAATATTACTATATATTAGCTGTTGTTATGATTATTAATAGATTTATTAGCATAAATATAGGGTATATCAAAAATAGCTTTAGGTCAAGATATTGATGTGAATTAAAAACTAAAATATTAGACACAAATGATAAATTATTATTATATTTGACATGAAACTCAAAGCTACCAAACCATTATAACCTAGAGATTTTGTTTGATTATGTTTTGATTATCTCTATATTTCAAATATGTAGCCCCAATAGAAGAGGTTTTAAATACGCAGTATTAGCTTTCAACCATAAATCAAAGATTTTAAGAAACAGTGTATTGTTGAAAATTATTGAGAATTGAAATATTAAAGTTATCTCTGATATAATTTATAGAACTCAACGTAATCTACTCAGATAATTTTTTTTTTTATATGCTTTATAAGCCCATCAAAGGTCATAGCAGCATACCCTAAGATGGGAGATTTTTAACCATTAATACTCCGGGACAGGTAGATAGTCCATCGTTGGAAGAAGGGATGGCGATTCCAATTACCGAATTGATCTCTCGCTCGGCCAATGAAACCAACCGTGACTAAATTTTGAACCCAAGGTAGTGTGCGTCAAGCACTGACACATTACCAACTCGGGCACACCGTTCCTATACAAATATTAATAAGAAATATCACAATAATATCTTTAATTTTATTAACCTTAAAACAATAATTTACATTATAGTATGAACTGCAAAAGTTTTTTACATTCCCTTTTTGAATATACTCACATATTTAACTATTGATAATACTTATATTTCAGGAAAATATTATGGAATCTTTAAATGAATGTTTATCACTTGTAGAACAAAGCAGAGCAGAAGTTTTATTACTCTTAAGTGAAAAATGTATTGAGTATGATTCCAGCTCTAAAAAAAGTAAATAGATTATATGAGTTTTATCTTTGTTTGGAAAAGGGTCTTAAATAAATTTTATCAATCTTTTAGGAAAAAATTTGAGAATATTTTCTAATTATAATTTTTATTTATTTTACTAAATATATAAAGAGTACCATTCATGAAATATCAATTTAAGTTGCAATTTTTTGTGAAATAATTACTTCACCTATTTTCCTTGGTACTAAATAAATCCTTGATACCAAGGATTTATTTCATATTACACAGTTTGATTAAAAAATTTAGTGCATTTATTTTTAAAATCTAAAATATATAATATGAAAGATAATTAATTTAAAACAAAATAACTGAATTAAATTAAATTTTATACTACAATTTTTACTTTAATTATTATATTTTATACTATAAATAACTTAATTTCTTGAAATTCACATCCAATTTTTCTTTTTTAATGAACTGTTTTATTTTTTATTCAAAATATTCATAGTTAATCTTCTTCTTAATATTTCACCATTCTTAATGTTTTTTTTATTTTTTATTATTACTATCAAACCATTTTTAAGATCTTATTTAATTTCTTGATATTAGCTTCGATGAGAAGCTGAGAAGGTCTAATACCTTCTCAGCTTACTATGATGTGTTTTATTTTTGTGTGTCTGTTACCACTTTTTCTCAGCTCTCACCGAACTGATTTCTTTCAATGATACGTCAAAAGATCACAAATTGTATCTAGTCGAAGATATTACCCTTAAAAATTGAAAAATTTTCCCTCGTTCCCCGCAAATGGGGGAAATCTCCAAAAAAATTACAAATTTATAAATCTTTGATATCATTTTTTTTTGAAAATCTAACACTTATTCTACTCACTAAAAATCGCTAATATTCGACATTTTTTTCATCTAAAATTGACATAACTTTTTTAAAAATGACCGTATCAATATAATTTTTTTTTTATAGATGCATAATGTCTACCTTTTATTTGGTATATTTTTAATAAATCTGACCCTTTAACTGCCCACAGGAGGAGATTTAGAATGACAACTTTTTCACAAAAAATTAACTTATGAAATTATTCCGGAAAGTCTGACGCTTTTTTATATATCTTAAATTAAAGCTAATGTAATATACTTTATTATGGAAAAAAAAAAATTTCGAACTTTATATTGTCTTCACGGTAAAAACAGACATCTAAATTAATAAAAAAAAATACGATTTTTGTAAACAAATTCTTTTTAATATTTTTAATTTTATAATGCTATAACTTTTTAAAAAATGAGTGGATAAATATAATTTTTTTTATAGATGCATGAAGTCTTTACCTATCATTTGGTAATTTTTTTTTTTTTATAAATTTGACCCTTTACCTGCACACAGGGGAGAATTAATATGACAACTTTTACACTTAACTTTTGAAAGTGTTCTGGAAAGTCTGATACTTTTATATATATCTTAAATTAAAGCTTTTGTAATATACTTTAATTTGAAAAAAAAAATTTGACCTCTGGATTTGTCTTCATGGTGAAAATGAATAGCATATTCAAAAATATGCTATTTTTGTGTTAAAATTCTGGGTTTTGTATTTTATTTTATTTTAAAATACCTGACAAGGGGAGTACAGATTTTTATAAATATTATATAAATAAAAAATTGATATAGCATAGAAAGTTAAACTTATTTAAATTATTTTGCTTTTTGAAGTCGAGAAAAATAACTTTGAAATTTAAGTTAGCTTAAATAGCCAATTTTTTCAATCGACGGTAGTGACATACGGTTGCCAAGATGGTAAAACTTATGTTTGACGTACGTGGGGTACAAGGTTCTAACCTGCCTATGACAAGGAATTTTTTTCTTAATTCTTATTAAGTTAGAATAAATTTTCAACTCATTTGATTTTTATCTCATTTAAATACAATGACTTCAATAAAGATCAAAGATCCCATCACTGTAGACGCCACTCGCGAGAAGAAATTTCTTATTCATTTTAAAATTATTTTACTATATTTTAAGTTTTAGCTTCGATGCAAAGCTGAAAAGATATTTTTATATGACTATCATTTATTTTCTCTGCTCTAACTTGACCTATTTTTTTCAACGATACGTCAAATGACTACAATTCGTATCTAGTTGAGATATTACCCTCAAAAATTGAAAAATTTTCCCTCGTTTCCCGCAAATGGGTGAAATCTCCAAAAAAATTACAAATTTATAAATCGTTAAATTTTGTCATTTTTCTTCACTTTTTTAGCTTCGATGCGAAGCTGAGAAGGTATTAATTTTACCATGATGTGTTTATTTTTTTTTTTTTTATGTCTGATGCCCTTTCTTCTCAGCTCTAACTGGACCGATTTCTTTTAACAATACGTCAAAAGATCACAAATCGTATCTAGTTGAAAACATTACCCTAAAAAATTGAAAAATTTTCCCTCGTTCCCTGCAAATAGGAGAAATATCCAAAAAAAATTACAAATNCGTTTCCCGCAAATGGGTGAAATCTCCAAAAAAATTACAAATTTATAAATCGTTAAATTTTGTCATTTTTCTTCACTTTTTTTTCTTAAAACTTCCATAACTTTTTCAAAAATAAACAAATCAACATAATTTTTTATTGTACTAAAACCTTGGATATTTCCCTTTCATTTGACATCATTTTTACAGTATTATCATACTGTAAAATGATATCTTTTACTATTTTGACAGTATGGTTCAAGTAACCATCTATGCCTCGTCCACACTGTGCCTTGACCCCACCGTGCTACTGTTTTTAACACGCTTNTATTCCTATAAAAATTTATTTTTAGTTATCGTACCCGTACACGCGTGCTTGTCATCAATATTATATATATGTAAACAAATTTTTATTTTGACTGACCAATCGCCCGCGTCTAATGCGCCTTACGTATATATATATATATATTCCTACCGCCGTTTATACCTCGGGTATAACGTTAGTCCGACCCGCCCGGCCATAAAACTTTAAATACTTAGTGCATGATACTTTTACGTAGTTAAGTCGCATTATTTGTATAAATATATATATTCTAATTACTATTAAAATTTATATATTAACACGATTCATTCTAATTAAGAGATATAAAGTATTCATTCCGATTACGAGGGATGATTTCCGTATCGTCATTTTTCGTCACTACCTCCACGTTCCGGGAGTGAGTAATTTACGCGCCTGCTGCTTTCCTTGGATGTGGTAGCCGTTTCTCAGACTCCCTCCCCAGAATCGAACCCTGATTTCCCGTTACCCGTAACAACCATGATATTGATAGTAACTACTATCATAACATGAAACTAAAAAGTAAAAAATAAATATAGTTTAAAAAACTAAAAAAACACGCTTTTAAAGTACATCGAACTAAAAAGTTAAAAATAATTTTTAAAATAATTATGAACAAAAAATACTAGTATTATTGTGATAAAAGCGTGGGTGCTTTGTGCCATATTTTTCGTATATTGAGCGCCCGACGCTTTTATCACAATAATACTAGTATTTTTTGTTCATAATTATTTTAAAAATTATTTTTAACTTTTTAGTTCGATGTACTTTAAAAGCGTGTTTTTTTAGTTTTTTAAA